CTGTCTGCTGCCATCACATGCCTTGCAATCATTTTTAAACTTTTTTTTTTTTTTTTTGCAGTTTGTGGCTGAGGACTGGGTTTGAACCTGCTACCTCTGGCATATGGGGCTGGCACCTTATTCCTCTGAGCCACAGTCTCACTATGTCACCCTTGGTAGAGTACCGTGGTGTCATAGCTCTTGCCTCAGCCTCCCAAGTAGCTGGGTCTACAAGTGCCCGCCACAACACCTGGCTATTTTTTGTTATAGTTGTCACTGTTGTTTAGCTTTCTGAGCTGGGTTCAAACCTACCAGCCTCAGTGCATGTGGCTAGCACCGTAACCACTGTGATACAGGCACCAAGCCCATTTATTTACTTTTTTTTTTTAGAGACAGAATCTTACTGTCAGCCTTGGTAGAGCGCTGTGGCGTCACAGCTCATAGCAACCTCTGGCTCTTGGGCTTAGCCAATTCTCTTGCCTTAGCCTCTCAAGTAGCTGGGTCTATAGGTGCCTGCCACAATGCCCGGCTATTTTTTTGGTGCAATCCCATGTAACCGGGACTTCAGGCACCGGCCACAACACCTGTTATTTTTTGTTGAGATTGTCATTGTTGTTTAGCTATTCCAGGCAGGGTTCGAACATGCCAGCCTAGGTGTATATGAATCTCTATGTCGCCCTTGGTAGAGTGTGGTGGTGTCACAGCTCACAGCAACCTCAAACTCTTGGGCTTACATGATTCTTTTGCCTCAGCCCAACTATTTTTTTGGTTGTAGTTGTCTTTGTTATTTGGCAGCCCCGGGCTGGGTTCAAACCTGCCAGCTCCAGTGTATGTGGCTGGTGCCCTAGCTGCTGAGCTATAGGAGCCAAGCCATCATTCATTATATTCTTGATTGCACAAAACTTGACAATGACCAGAAGCTTCAGAGTAATTAAGCTTTTTCCAAAACAGCAGCTTATTTGATATAGGCCCTGATTCCTCAGTGGCAAAGGCTGCAAAATGCTGCCCTACATTCCCCAGGAAGCTGGGAAGCAGCAAAGAAGAATGAGAACAATGTCCTAGCACTCTGGGAGGAAGAGGCAAGTGGACTGCTTGAGCTCACAAGTTTGAGAGCAGCCTGAGCCAGAGTGAGACTCCGTCTCTAAAAAAGTACCCAGGTGTTGTGGCAGGCACCTATAGTCCCAGCTACATGGGAGGCTGAGGCAAGAGGATCACTTGAAGCCAAGAGTTTGAGGTTGCTATAATGAGAGCTATGATGCCACGGTACTCTACCCAGGAAAAAAAGTAAGACTCTGTCTCAAAAAAATACATTAATAAAAAATAAATTAAAAAAATAAAATTTAAAATGTAGCCAGATGTTGTGGTGGGCGCCTGTAGTTCCAGCTACTGGGGAGGCTGAGGCAAGAGAATCACTTGAGCCTAAAAGTTTGAGGTTGCTATGAGCTATGCCAAAGCACTCTACCAAGGGCAACATAGTAAAACTGTCTCCAAAAAAAAAAACCCACCAAAATAAAAAAAAAAAAGGCTTGGCGCCCGAAGTTCAGCGGGTAGGGCATCAGCCACATACACCGGAGCTGGCAGGTTCAAACCCGCCCCAGGTCTGCCAAACAACAATGACAACTATACCAACAACAACAACAACAAACGGCCAGGCATTGTAGCTGGTGCCGATAGTCCCAGCCACTTGGGAGGCTGAAGCAAGAGAATCACTTAAGCCACTTAAGCCCCAGAGTTTGATGTTGCTATGAGCTGTGATGCCATGGCACTCCACCAACGGCAACATAGTGAGACTCTGTCTCAACAAAAAAACAAAAAGGCTCAGCACCCGTAGCTCAGTAAGTAGGGCACCAGCCACATACACCAAGGCTGGTGGGTTCAAGCCTGGCTCGGGCCTGCTAAACAACAATGACAACT